ACTGAAACTAGACTAAAATACTTCAGGTTTTCTTCGACTAAAACTGGACTAAAATACTTAAGGTTTACTTCGACTAAAATACATCAGGTTTTCTTCGACTAAAACTAGACTAAAATACTTCAGGTATTCTTCGACTAAAACTAGACTAAAATACTTCAGGTATTCTTCGACTAAAACTAGACTAAAATATCTTATTGCTAAAATGTCAAGTTTTCATTGACTAAAACTAGACTAAAATACTTCAGGTTTACTTTGACTAAAACTAGACTAAAATGTTGACACTTTTAGTCAACTAAAACTAAATAGGATAAGGTTGACTAAATATGATAAAATCTAACAAGGACATTTTAACACGGGACTAAGACTAAAATGAAAATAGCTGACAAAATTAACACTAGATTGCATCATATAATAATTTCTGTTAATAGTGTTCATCGTCCGTTTGATTACGTCTTTAATTGATTTTTCCGTACATTTCTGCCATATGTACATTAACTGACAGTCACCACTGATAAGCTACCACTAAATATTGCAGAAACTTAATTTGCTGTAAAGTTGCTTTGCAACGATTTGTATCGTGAAAGGTGCTATACAAATAAACTTAAGCTTGAACACTAGCCATTTAAAGTTCAGTCTCTTCTTCACAAAAAGGCTTCAGAATAAAGCACACAAATTGTGTGCAGTATTTTGCAAATGCTTTTTAGTATTTTCATTTAATGGAAATGAGCAGCTTTGACATTCTGCAAAATATACACCACTGATAAGCTACCACTAAATATTGCAGAAACTTAATTTGCTATAAAGTTGCTTTGCAACGATTTGTATCGTGAAAGGTGCTATACAAATAAACTTAAACTTGAACACTAGCCATTTAAAGTTCAGTCTCTTCTTCACAAAAAGGCTTCAGAATAAAGCACACAAATTGTGTGCAGTATTTTGCAAATGCTTTTTAGTATTTTCATTTAATGGAAATGAGCAGCTTTGACATTCTGCAAAATATCTTTTTTTATGATTCACTTCAGAAAGAAAGTCAAATAGGTTTGGAATGACATGAGGAATGGTGAATTATGGCAAAAATGAGTCCTGTCTGTTAATTCTGAAATCTCTTCCTCTGTCTCAGGTCAGTATTGGCCGTCACTGAAGCCGCTGATGGGCACAGTGGGGATGTCGTTTCTGGGTGCCCAGAGGAAAGACTGTGAGGAAACGGACACAGTGAATGCGATGGCATCCCTCTCCGTGGGGGTCTTGACCAACAAAAGGTGAGTTCTGATGAAGAAATTGTGCTAAATGCAAGTAATATAATTAGTCACACTTCTATAGTGCCTTGATCCTGTTTTGTACACAATTTGTTCTTTTATTTAGTTTAACCAAGTTTATTATTGTTAAATTAACCTATTGAAATATTTTTGTTAAATAAAACTGTTGAAATTAAGCTGAAATAAAATATAAATATTAGACGAAAACATAATGAAAATGAGAAATTATGCTTTGGTAACTAACTGAAATTAGATAATAAGAACTGAAAATAAATAACTAAAACAAATAAATTAGACTTTAATAGTAATTAAAAAAAATATATGACAAAAGCTGATGATAAAATGAAACAAAAATTAAAATAAAACCTTTTAAAATATATATATATTTTTAAATATAAATAAAAATGATAATAGTATACAAATACTAAAATATGGGTGTGACAACTGCATTCTACAACCAAATTTACTTACCAAAAATTCAGGAAAAGCCACATTTTCCTACAAGAGTTAGTTTTTGCAGAAAGGGGCAAATCTGTAATCCAAACCAATTCATGCTAATGTTTTTACAGGTGCCTACTTCCCTTCTAATCTATACTGGGCTTCAGAGCTGGAGGAAATTATGCTTTTGATACATTCCCGAGCATAAAAACCATATGGTGATTGTTTGATGCTAAACATAAACCTCATTTTTTACAGCCTTGCCGATGAGCCCATGGAGCATGACGAAGACTCCCTTTAAACCAGGTCTTTACGCGTCTGAACACCGTCCAGTACCAAATGGCGCTCCAAACCATGTGAACGAGCCGTGCCTCAAGACCAGCAGTGCCTCAGGGGGCGTGGCTTCCTCATCACGGCCCCTCCCCCAAGACACCACCTCAACATTGACCACCAGCAAAGCCCGCGCTTTTTCTAAGCTAACAACCCACAGCCACAGTTCTGCAGGGGCTCTGGGATCCACGCCATCTTCTTCATTCAAGTACCACACAAACAAACACACTATGACGCATGAGGCCGCTTTGTGCGTTAGTGTGTTTTTAACATTCACTAAAAGAATGCACTCCAGTCATTCAATGTTCACCTCAAAAGAGACTATTTACTTTAGCTGGAGATGCGAAAGCAGATTTGCAGGAGCGGTTGAGGATTATTTCACCTTTTTTAAAGGCAGCCCACTTTACTACCCCTGTCAAGCGGACTGTGCTGGGAGAAAATGAGGGGTTTCCTTGCACCTGGCAACCACAAAGTGGCTCCACTCTATGATGTCATTACTATTAACCAATTTAACCACTAAAGAAGAAGAAGAAGAAAACGATCATGACAACTGTGTGTTTTATAAATCGTATTTTTT